GTTACACTGGCAGAAGTGCTGCTCTGCTTTGGGAGCTGCCATCAGGGTTTGGCAACAAGACTGAGGGGTCTCAGGGCTGGCAGCACCCTGATGTGCACAGGGGTGCCCAAAACCCTCCCAAATCCAGCCAGGCCCTGGCAAAGGGAACAAAGATCTTGTTGGATAAATGGGAGAAGATTCAATGAAGGTGATGGTGAGGTTTGGGTTCTGCCATGTGGGCCAGGAATGCTGAGCCACCCAAGAGCTGCCAGGCAGCTCCTGGGGACAGAAGGGGTGGCAGGGGCACAGCTGCCCCCAAAACCAGGTGACAGTAGAAGAGGGCACACACTGCTCTTGGCCTGGCTGTGTGCTGACATTACCTGCCAAAACACTGCATGTGCTCTTGGGAAACAGAAATTTTGCTTTTGTCATAACCTTTCCATGGCCCCAGCTGGGAATTTCTCAAGTGCTCCTGCCCTGTACTGGGCAGTTGCTCCTGCACAGATCAAAAAGCTGCTTTCAAAGGGAAATAATAAGGTTTAAGTTTGAAGAAGTCCATGGAGCAAAGGCATAGCAGTTGAAATTCTCTACTTCCCACTGTGCAGCACCTCCCTCTCTCCTCCCTGTTTGTGCCTGTTGCATCTTGAGCAGAAAGGAGAGGATGCAGGAAACAGATGCAAGGGCTGAAACCCAAAAATAGGCAGGGTGGGGAGGAACAGCAGGGATGCAGGAGGCTGCCTGTGAGAGCCCAGCTCAGGCAGGGCAGGAAAAAACCCATTTATCCCAGTAAAGAGCAGAGCTCCCAGTGCAAACCCTGCCAGGCTGCCCAGCCCTGGGCATTGCTGACCCCTGGCAGTGCCAGGAGATGCCCCAGGGAGGCTGTGAGCAATCCTGCCTCTGCCATGCTGGGAAGAGACATAAAACCATGTCAGATTTTCTGCTCCCACTCCCAGGGAGATTAATTGTTTATCCCCAAACAAATTAATCGTCCCCTGGTGGGACTGTAAATATGCCTTTATGTGGCGTAATAAATTCTGATTAACAACAATCCCCTGCCTGATTTTTAGTGTTTTACAGGTCTGACACATGCCATGGCTGGGCCATTCACTTAGCAATAAATCTGCTGAAGGTGTTGTTTCATTCACCAGAAAAATCAAAATTAAAATGCCACATAATGACTGTCCTGGGAAGAATTCCTTAATTTCCCTAATGAAAACTTTAGTAAAGTTAGCTCATCTTTGAAAGCCAGCTTTAAAACAGGATCAGAGAAGGGAAAATAAACTCTCCAGTCCAGTTTTTAGTGCTGAGAAACAGTACCTGGTGTTTGGTTCAGCAGAGATAAACCAACCTGGCAAAGCTCCTGCCATCACTATGAACTGGGTCAGGATGCACATTAGTTTATTAATGCAATTTATTAATTGGCACTTGACCATCCCCAACAGCTGCCATCCTGGATGGGGCCTGTGGTAGCCAGGGCAGCAGGCTGAGGACCAGGTTACAGACTGCTGGGCTGTCCAGCCCTGCTCAGATCCCTCAGCATCTTTGGAAGTGGGGGCAGAAAATAAATGCCCTAAAAAACTGGGAAACAAAGCCACAGGCTCAGTGAGAAAAAGGAGGTGAAAGTCACAGTGTGTCTGGCTTTTTGGGGTATCTGTTGAGAGAAAATATCTAAGAAACCCCAAATGAGATCAAGAAGAGCTGTAAAGTCAACTGTAAGAGAAGATGTGGCAAAATCAATCCTGCTTTTGCAGTAAATTCAGCACCACCTCCACTAAAACAAAGCTCAGCCAGTCCTGGCCTTCCAGGCAACTTTTCCAATTCCCAGCTCAGCAGCATGCTCAACAGAACACCAGAGGGGTTAATGCCCAAACTGATTCAAATGGGGGGAGAGGCATTTTTTTAATTAGAGAGAAAATAAGGGACAGATAATACGTCTGATGAATTATGGCTGTCTCTGTTTCGCTGCCATTGCATCTGGGGATGCTGCAAAGCAGTTCCTAATGGCACTGCTTTATCTAAGAGGATGATGGATAGTAGTGAAAGGCAGAAAAAAAGGGGAAAAGTAAGACATTAGCACATCAATGGTGTGCCTGTGACCTCCATCAAGGGATTCGAACCAACTTAATGAAATTTTAATTAGGCAGCAAGCAGTGCACGGTGCTGGGTACCCGATCAGCCCTGCTTCCCCTCGCTGTCATTATCCTTCCCTGGGATCGGCCCTTTCCTGGCGCTGGCAGCCGAGCCCTGGCCAGGGAATGCCCCCGGGTCACCCCCGGAGGAGGAGCCCGGGCAGAGCGGGATCTGCAGCCTCAGGGGGAGCAGGGAATGTCCCTCTGTCAGAATGTCCCTGCCAGACTCTGCTCTGGGCCCTGCAGAAGGGAAATGCAACATCAGAGTGGCTCTGCTGAGCCCTTCCCGAGTGCAGGGCCAGGATTTGCCTTTGAGGAGGGGGCAGGTGACCCCTGTGACCTGACCATCCCTGCCAGGAGTGGCCAAGCAGCTTCCCTGAACCTCTGAGGGCAGGGACAGAACTAATCCTGAGAGCAGCCTGGCTGCATTTTCCATCAACCTGACCTCCCAGGGCCCACCCTTAAACCGGGCCTGCCTCAGCTCCCCTTCCAGCCCAGCTTAGCTGAGAGCAGGTTGGTGAGTGCCAGTGGTGGTTTGTGACTTGGGCACTCAAATGTGGGACCACAGCCCAGGAATTACAGGTTCCCCCACCACCCTTCCTGTTAATGTAGGTCAGAAAAGTCTGGGTGGCTGATGAAAGCAGATAAATCTGCTCTGGGGTAATGTGCAGGAAGGTGGTGATGTCAGGAATTCCTCACATTCAGCGCTCACAACTCTGGCCAAGGTTGTGTAAGTGCAATTAAAAATCAAATGGACTGGCAGGCAGAGTCTGCTCTCTTGGGAAGTTCTTAGGATGAGGAGCTAAAAGTTGATTTCCTGATAATCCCAAGTTAATGTGCTGGCCTGGTACAGGACTCTGGAGGCAGAGCAGACGCTGCCTGAGGGGCAGCACACACCGAGTCCCTGCTGGGGTCTCTCTGCATCTCTCCCTAATTCCAGAGCCTGTGCTGGAAGAGGAGGGACAGATTTCCACAGAGTGACAGATTTCTTATCTCCATGAGGGCCCCATCAGGGCTGCTGATCTGCAAACCTGTCCCAATGGGCAAACCCCAGATGGCATCAGGGACCCAGGGCTGACCTGGTGCAGTGAGAAACCAGCACTGAAGATTTAATGCAAAGGGTGAGCAGGTTTATTGTACATTTTCACTAAGCTTTGCTGAATCTTTTCAAGTCCTGCTTTAAAGCCCAGGAAAAACCCACTCAAGGAACTGCTGGGGTTGGGCAAAGCCCCCCCCATCCTGAGCAGGTTATTTTGGGCTCTGCTCCAGCATGGCATCACTGGCTCCATAGGCAAATGGCCCATGTGGCTTTAACCTGAATATCATGGGCTGATCAGCTTCTTTGTTATTTTAGATTACATGCTTGGCAAAGCCTGAAAATAATTGGAGACTATCTGGAAAAATAAAAATAGAAATCTGAAATGTGGCAGCAGCAGCTACCGAAGTGCAGCACTGAGACAGGAACCCATGAGCCAAATGCTCCCACTGAAAGAGAAAATAAATTAGCTGAGGATGAAGCACTATTTTGCACATACACAGTGATCTGGCACCAGGGAAAAGTCATCAGAGGCAATGAAACCACTCAGAGCTCAAAAATTCACCTGTTTTTTTTTTATTTGGCCTCCCAAGAGCAATCTCCTCTCCCCAGGGTATGTGCACACCTTGGGATGTCCCTCTGCAGCCCTCACAGCTCCAAGTCATCCCACAACAGATCCTAAGGGCCTCACTCACAAATTGGGCAATATCACCATCACCATCCTTTCTCCTCTCTGGCTCCAGCCAAATCCTCTCCAGTTTCCATCAGCTCCTACAAGGTCTCAGCCTGTCCACAACATCTGCAGCCACCAGGGATATTTTATTATATTCCACCCCATCAAATAACCATCATGATGCTGAGCTCAGTGCCAAGCCCCAGCAGCATTGACAGGGTTAAATTAAAGGTACCCATGATATTAGAGAGCTGCAAAGTAATTATGAAAGGAAGCAGAAAAAAGCCAGCAACTCCAAGCAGACATGAAGGCCCTCTTAAGAGAAGAAAGGCATGTTAATTAACCTCCAGACATGATTCAAAGCATCATTTGTAGCACGATTAACATAATCCCCCAAGTGCACACACAACTGGCATTAACGATCATTGCAGGACTGAGCGCTCCCCCACCCTTGAACAAATCGGCACAAGGGAGCGGGGAAACACCGGAACGGCAGCGAGACAAAAA